GTTGACTTTTTATAATGTTATTTATACTGCTCAAGGTATAAGTGAGTGGCAAGAATTGAGCCTTTCTCCAGAATACCTTAATTTCTATCGTTTTATCGTGATGATCTGATACTGTAGGTTTTATGTGATTCAATCTTTATTATATCCTGATGATGATACGCAGTGTCAACCCTTTTATCAACTTTTTCATCGTGAATTACAAGAGAGAAATTTTGTTTACTAGCCTCGTCTTCACATGGAAACACAAAAGGATTATCACATGTGTGAGAGGCTAGTAAGTCCAGAACAATGGCAGTTCAAAGTGGATGCCACATTTCGATTTGGTGTATATCCAATGCGTTCTTGTGGAATAATTGTTAATTAGACGTTTTGTTATATAGTATCACTGAATATTTTTACGAGTTATGCCGTATTTTAATGAGTGCCGTCAAACTACAAATAACGAGTAAAAATACTCAGCGATACTACACAACAAAACGTCTGATAAGTTATTTATTATCCAACACGCCAAACTGTTATTTCGGTGCGGGCGAATTTCGCGGTTATTTATTTTGGGGAGTGTGTGACAGAAGTATACGAAGCGGAACGGAATTGGCGCGTAGTCGTGTTGCTGTTTCTATTTTGTTCTATAAATGAAGAAATTTCCTGGTCGTCTAGCTGTTTTTATTCTTTGGATTCATCTAATAAACTTGGATCTATATTTGGCAGCCATTCTGACTCTTCGTCGTCGGAAATATGATTCAAATTGTCTGCCAATATTTTTTTTCGTAACTGCAATCCAATAGCCGATTTCCGAGTTACCCTTGGCCTCATTTTCAAAACGAGTCCTGGTGCTCATCCTTTCATATGATTATAAGTTTTCATTCACATGAAAATTAAACTCACTTTCACAAGAATGGTTGAGCACCAGGCCTCGTTTTGAAAAAGAGGCCAAGGGTAATTCGGAAATGGGCTATTCTTCGCTTACGCGATGCGAGAAAACCTGTTTAACCGGCACTCTAGAGTACAAATAGCGCGTGATATTTGTACTCGTCTATGGCGCTATTCGTACTCTAAGAAGTGTAGTTGGATAATAAATCAAAATTATTTGAAGTTCACGCAGTCTTCCTAAATGAATAATCAATGATGATCTGGAAATTAGAGTTTCGCTGCTCTTTAAAACAAAACACTGAGTTTGCCTGTCACCGGCGAGAGTTTACTTAACCACAATGGAATGAATACGCTTATTCCCAGACCATTCAGTTTATATATCTTATTAGACGTTTTGTTGTGTAGTATCGCTGAGTATTTTTACGAGTTGTGTCGTATTTTGACGAGCTCGTAGGACGAGTCAAAATACAAATAACGAGTAAAAATACTCGCCGATACTACACAACAAAACGTCTAATAACTTATTTATTATCCAACGCGCCAAACTGTTGTTTCAGTGGACGAATTTCGCGGATATTTATTTACGGGGAGTGCTTGACAGGAGTTTGCGAAGCGGAATGGAATTGGCTCGTTGTTGTGTTGCTTTTTCTATTTATCTTTTTAAATGAAGAAATTTTCTGGTCGTCAAGCTTTTTTTCTTCGGTCGATTCATCAAATGAACTTAGATCTATATTGGCCATCCATTCTGACTCTTCGTCGTCGGAAATATGATTCAAATTGTCCGCCACTTTTTTTTTTTTGTAACAACAACCAATTTTTCGCCTGCGCGATGCGAGAAAACCTGTTTAGCCGGTACTACAATAGACGAGTACAAATACCGCGTGATATTTGTACTCGTTTATGGCGTTATTCGTACTCGTCTAGGTGTAGTTGGATAATAAAATCGAATATAATTTCAACTGAGGGTCACGGTTTTACGGAGGCGGATCATACATGATGGAACTTTAGATTTGGGTCCAAATAAGTTCAGTAAGACCAAAAGTTTACCGAGTCCGTCGAATAGAGTTGGCTGTTCAACGGAGATGTAATCTACAGTACATACGCGGAGCGAATTTTGGAACCTTGATGTTTAACCTCTTAATGGTCGGAGGGCTTTACAATAAGAGCCAACAATGACACACCGTCACATGAAGAGTTCATTAGTGTCCGGTGTTAGAAAGCGTCTTGTTTAATTTATGATTATGCCAAATTGGAGCAAGTCACAGTATTTTCTTAGAGAATTTCACTCAAACAACTTAATTCGACTATGAGGTGTCGTTCCTATGGTTATGATGTTTTAATTTCACACGGTTATGACTGGGGGTTTTTCCCTCCTCAACTCTGAGTCAACGTCAGACAGTGACAGTTGATGCTATCTATTTTGACACAAATCGTGATCCAAAGCACGATCTTGCAAAATTCTCCATTTATAAGTAAATACAACTATAGGAAATACAACTATAGGAAACACTTTAACTGAGTTACCTACCTTAAGTTTCTAACAGATTGAAAAGATTGTCTTGATTGTTTTCCACACAATGTTTGTATGCTCGTTTGAGGGCAAACACACTTTCCGTCCCGCGTTAAAGGGCACTGAGTTCCACAGTGAGACTGTCATTTAAAAGTCAGAAATCATGGTTTATTCTTGACTTATCTTCATTCCCTTTTCTCTTTAACTAGAATTGAATATGGCGTTGAAGCACAATTTCGTCCGAAAAGTATGCTTTATTTGCGTTGTTGAGTATGCTTCATTTGCAGATGGATAAATGTATTTTGGCGTGCTTGCTGAAAAGTATGCTTCATTTGCATATGGATAAATGTATTTTGGCGGATTGAATAGGCAAAACAAATGTTCGGTTCATTTTCAAGTCGTGTCTACAAAATTCAGAATTAAAATTTGTCAGCTGGATATAACTTCACTCCGTAATCTTTGAAATATGGCTATGAATTGTCTCTGTCATTCAGTTGAGAATATGATAAAAAGAAAATAATTCAAATTATAAACGAACGATCGACGTTTCGGCCATATCGCACGGCAGTTTCGCGATGAAGGCCGTGTAATATGGCCGAAACGTCGATCGTTCGTTTATAAGTTTCCAGTATTTGAATTATTTTCTTTTTATCATAATCTTTGAAATCTTGCAAAATGAATTGTAACATGAATTGGTCATCCTGCTGAATCATGTAACATATATCGGTGTGTTTGGAATGATGTCGAAAGATCTATTTGCTCATGCGTTATGGTAGCTGAAAACGTTTCGGTATTAATTGTGGTCACTACGACATCATTCAATCAGAGATCATTCAACTGGAGTTAAGCGTACCTTAACAACATCTCTTTAAACACCATCCGCACGCTATTTTCGAGACCGGGCAGTCAGACAGTCAATACATACCTCGAGAAAGAACGAGCCGCTGGTGTACCAGCGGTATCTCTTAGAACTGGATTTTCCCATGTAAGCTGGCGAAACTAGCATTTGCCTCGTTCAGTTTGGTACATTAAACCGTGCAAATCTATCGCTTCTATGCTGCATCACGTTATGAGTTCCCGGTTAAATCACTCCAATGACTCAAGTTCTGACCCTATTCAATGCAAAAGATCTCTCCTCTACTGAAAAGGCCGTTTCACGGGTACATCTACATCTACTTTATTACTTCGCAAAGCCTTACTGCATACAAGCGAAGGGTCATACAAATAGAATATACAATATATACATGACGATAATTTTAAAATAATAAAATAATAATTACAATAATAATAATATTTACGGGTAAAGCTCGACGATATGGTTGAAGGATACCTATTTTAACCCAGTTGTGTTTGGCCAGAAGTGAAATCTAGAGATCGGTTCATTGGAATACCGCGTAGGTCGGGTGCTTGGGTCAAGTGTGAGAGTTACTGGATTCATGCATTGATAGTTGACTCGTAATAAGTTTACCACGTTATTTATGATTTACCATTAAAGCATGTTCTTCCCACCGATCCCGTAATACGTAACTATTTGCAATATCTATATCATCCCAATCATCTCTTGAGAGGATAATCGAATATAAAAATGCGAAGCGCGATTCGATTTATTTTTGTGTCTGGTGCGTACCTCAGGATAAAAAATGATGCAATTCTGTTATGGTTTCTGTGAAGTTTAAAGTGCATGACAGGGTACACAAGGTAAGCGATCGTCGTGTAACACAAATATGACAAGGACGCGTAATTCAGTCCACGTCGATATTATGTGGTGAGATATGTGGTGTTCAGTAGGAAATCCCATTTGGTTAACGAGACTCCATGCAAAACAGGATGGATATTCGGGACCAATTCAATTGGAAAAAGCAAACGTTATGAGAATGCATATTGTCGTGGAAAACCATGTGCCCCGTGTGTGTG